ACGGGCTCGTGAGATCAGCCAGGGTGGCTCCCCCTTGGGGCTCCCAAATGATGCCCCTGGCAGCGTTTTGTGACCATGAGGCTCTCAAGAGAGACATGTTGGGGAGGCCAAACGGCAATTTTAGCTGAGACGTCCCACCAAAATCGGCGCGAACGGGCTCGTGAGATCAGCCAGGGTGGCTCCCCCTTGGGGCTCCCAAATGATGCCCCTGGCAGCGTTTTGTGACCATGAGGCTCTCAAGAGATACATGTTGGGGGCGCCAAACGGCAATTCTAGCTGAGACGTCCCACCAAAATCGGCGCGAACGGGCTCTTGAGATCAGCCAGGGTGGCTCCCCCTTGGGGCTCCCAAATGATGCCCCTGGCAGCGTTTTGTGACCATGAGGCTCTCAAGAGATACATGTTGGGGGCGCCAAACGGCAATTCTAGCTGAGACGTCCCACCAAAATCGGCGCGAACGGGCTCGTGAGATCAGCCAGGGTGGCTCCCCCTTGGGGCTCCCAAATGATGCCCCTGGCAGCGTTTTGTGACCATGAGGCTCTCAAGAGATACATGTTGGGGCGCCAAACGGCAATTCTAGCTGAGACGTCCCACCAAAATCGGCGCGAACGGGCTCGTGAGATCAGCCAGGGTGGCACCCCCTTGGGGCTCCCAAGTGATGCCTCTGGCAGCGTTTTGTGACCATGATGCTCTCAAGAGATACATGTTCGGGGCGCCAAACGGCAATTCTAGCTGAGACGTCCCACCAAAATCGGCGCGAACGGGCTCGTGAGATCAGCCAGGGTGGCTCCCCCTTGGGGCTCCCAAATGATGCCCCTGGCAGCGTTTTGTGACCATGAGGCTCTCAAGAGATACATGTTGGGGGCGCCAAACGGCAATTCTAGCTGAGACGTCCCACCAAAATCGGCGCGAACGGGCTCGTGAGATCAGCCAGGGTGGCTCCCCCTTGGGGCTCCCAAATGATGCCCCTGGCAGCGTTTTGTGACCATGAGGCCCTCAAGAGATACATGTTCGGGGCGCCAAACGGCAATTCTAGCTGAGACGTCCCACCAAAATCGGCGCGAACGGGCTCGTGAGATCAGCCAGGGTGGCTCCCCCTTGGGGCTCCCAAATGATGCCCCTGGCAGCGTTTTGTGACCATGAGGCTCTCAAGAGATACATGTTGGGGGCGCCAAACGGCAATTCTAGCTGAGACGTCCCACCAAAATCGGCGCGAACGGGCTCGTGAGATCAGCCAGGGTGGCTCCCCCTTGGGGCTCCCAAATGATGCCCCTGGCAGCGTTTTGTGATCATGAGAGAGTGTGAGTGTGAGCTTAACTTATCTTATATTATCTTGAAATCTCTTCTTATCATATATTGTGCTATCTTATCTTATCTTGTAGTATCTTATCTTGTCTTGTCTTATCTGGTGATTATCATTGGGGGGAGGGAGGCGCGAGCGGGAGGAAGAAGGAGGAGGAGGAGGAGTGGGAGGCGTCAGAATAATAACAAGAACCCCAATCCTTAGGATATGGGGAAAATACCAATACTACTACTACGGCCGCTACTACTACTATTACTACTACTACGACTACTAACTACTACTACTACTACTACTACTACTATTACTACTCTACTACTACTACTACTACTACTACTACTACTACTGACTACTCGGATTACGAGTGCGACTGCTGCTATTACGACTACGAACTACTACTACTACTACTACTACTACTACTACTACTACTACTACTACTACTACGACTACGACTACGACTACGACTACTACTACTACTACTACTACTACTACTACTACTACTACTACGACGACTACTATTACTACTACCACGACCACTCCTACTACTACTAATGCTCTACTGCAACTTGCACCATTCATACTACTACTACTACTACTACTACTGCTACTACCACTACTACTACTACCACTACTACTACTACTACTACTACTACTACTACTACTACGACTACGACTACTACTACTACTACTACTTCTACTACTACTACTACTACTACTACTACTATTACTACTACCACGGTTACTACGACTACGACTACGACTGCGACTACAACTACGACTACGACTACGACTACGGCTACGACTACGACTTGTACTACTACTACTACTACTACTACTACTACTACGACGACGACGACGACGACGACGACGACGACGACGACGACGACGACGACGACGCCTACTAGTACTATCGCTACGACCACTACGGCCACTACGACTATGGATATTGTTACGTCTACGACTCCTACTACGACGACGGCTGCTAACGAGCACTCTTACGCAACCAAAACTTATCAAAGGGCACTTCCGGACAACCACAGCCAGTCTGGACGTCGTGTGTTCAAAAGCAATCGTTGGGGGCTGGCCAAACCTGCAGGAAACATGTCTTCGATTTTCAGAATGGAGGAGGAGGGCGAGGAAAGAAGAAGACAAAGGGAAACCGACGCGATTTGTGGGCCAGCTGCAAGACGCGTCGGTTCAGATCTGTTTCGCAGCATTGACTTTGCATTGTTTCGAATGTACGGAATGCGTTGCGCGCCGCATGACAACTCTGGACGTCGCTGGGCTTCTTCAAAAAACAGCGATCGCATGGTTGCAGAAATTCCTGCAATATGTGGGGTCGGTTATGTTTTTGAAGTGCCCGCCCGCCGTTGCAACCATTCCCCCTGGGGCCCTCCACGTCTTCCCGTGCTTTCTTGCCGCGTCACCCCCCGCGCCCGCCGCGGGCGGGCTCGCGCGTCGAGCGCGGCACAAAACGCACAGGACTTCGACAGCGCGCCAGACCAAATCGCAACAGGGAAGCGGGGGGGAGGAATGGCCAGATCGATGGCTGGCATACCCTTTAGGTCGGGCATGTCCCCCTGCATTCGGATTCTGCACGAAAAATAAAAAATACCTCCCCAGACATGATCAAAAACAAGCAATACACATTCAAAAAGTCGTCCCCTGATTATTTTTGACTATTTTTGAACATTCCTCCTCTAGAAGGACACGCCCGACTTAAGCATGCCCCGAACCAGCGCCAACAACGTCGTCTACATGATGCTGGCCCGAATGACGGCTCGCGCACGAGACGCCTGTTGCGCCGAAATCGAATGATTTATTGCGATTCAAACGCCAGCGCGCGGGCCAGGAGACGCAGGACCGAATTCGCACGAATAACAAGAGTAGCTTGAATCGAAAATAGCATTCGCATCGCGTTCTGACGCCAATTTAACTTTGCGCGGCAAAAGAAGAACTGCACGGCAGAAGGCTGAGGCAACACGGGTCTTTCAAATCCAGACATCCAGCGCGTCCATGGGAACGATCTCGGAAAAAAAGACAGGCCAGGGCGTCTCGCGAATAGAACTCTTGCTGGAGATGGCCCGCTTGCCGCCATTTTTTGGAAAAAAAAAACAATAATGATAATAATAATAATAAATGTTGGACCGCGAGCCCCACTTGACTCCTCGGAACCGCCGCGCGGTGCAAGCGCCGCGCTGACTGGCGCGCCCTGAGGAGATCGCGCACGGGGGGGAGCGCGGTCGCGCGGCTGGGGCTCGCCGCTTCGTCTTGCCGCGGGGCTTTGTCGCTGGCAAGCGCTGAGACCTAGGTCGCCGCCGCGGCAGGGCCATTGCGGCCCGAGCTGCTAGGGGCCACTAGGGGGCCGTTCGACAAACTATTATTGCCCCTGGCCTAGGCTT